TAGGGGGGTACAATTCCGCCACCCCCTTCCACCATGGTCTGCGACAGTGTCGTAGACTCGTAGTTGTCGTCTGCCTTGCAATTACAAATGTCAAAGTGTTAAATCGCCAAAATTGGTTGTTTATTTTAAAACTAGCTGTTTGCCCGTTCTACGTACGGGAATCTAGTAGTAAGTTAAAACCTTATATTCAGAACAGGAGTTGGTTTGCATATTTAGTGTGCATTTTTCCAGATATGATGGCAAAACTATAACTGTTTAGGAATACATATAAACCTTCTCAAATACAATATCTGACAGTTTCAAAGCCAAAACGAATGCTTCGCAATTAATGTCACCCGATCGTGTTTAGTCCATATTTTATATCAAACGATGAAAGGAATTGCTTTACAGTATAGATCTATGAGGCATAGCCCTAAGGTAGGCCTGTAATTTAAAGTTACTTTTCACACTGGTTAAAAGTAGTTAAAACACTACCTCAACCTCACTACCGCACACTTTATTCGGGTTGAAATTTTTATTAACAATGGTGCTCTTGTATTTTCCACGAAAAATAAGGTCATTAATGCGTTACCAACAGGACATACACACACAAATACAGAATTGAGTCCACACATTTTTGAGTCCCAGACAGAAAACGCTAAAAATTATACAGTAAGACATCAATTAAATTTAATAAGCAATAAGGTGCAGTGTTTATAAATAAATAGTGAAAATAGTGATGTGTTTGTATGTAAAAATGATTCTTACTGCTACCACCGGTTCTAAGGAAAAGTAGCAGTACCAACAACCAACGTTTACATTTGAGAAAAGAACTGTAGTACTTACGACTAATTCAAACTGTCCTTCTAATCAAACTGTATTATAGGTGTTAATTAATCTGTTGGAAAATATATAAATAAATAAATACACAGGCCACAAAACATGTAACATGTAACGTTAACAACGTAAAGCTTTGAAAACTTACTATGGTTTGCTAAAAAAACTTTAACTTGATGTGGTGCAGTACCGAAGTTATTAATCTCCTTTGGTTAAAATTTTTTTTAAGTTTTCGAAAATCAAAGTTATTTCCCATTAATAGCATTATTTGTAAGCAGCTTTTAATGTTAACATATTAATGGCAGCTTGAAGAAACCACCTTTATCCAAACAAATGTTTATTAAAGATTACGTAATCTCTAAACGATAATCGGTACATATATCTAGCAAACATTCGGAGGAAATGTGACAAAAAAACGCACAAATCTGGGGGTTTTGTACGTTTGTAGTTTTATTTCCTAACTAGGAAAAGTACCGATATCGTTGTCGAAATGTAAGTAAGTAGAAACCAAAGTGACATATTGGAAAAGCGAGTTTAGCTACATCTGTTAAGTTAAACCTCCGTTACGGTACGATCACAGCGAAATCAGAAAGATCTTCCAAGATCGCAGCAACATCCACGATCACCCACTGCAGTTGTGATTTTTTACTTTGCACTTTACACAACTGTCCTTGAAGCGCCGTCAATGAGTGGAAACCAACCTTTGTAAGCTACGGTATTGGTGGCGATGATTAAAAAAAATGTAGGTTTCCTTGCACTAATACAACACTGATTCACGGTATTTTCCCCGGTTATCAAAACTCAAGAAACAATCGTTGCACTTGCGATTAATTAAACCGGTTAAGTAAGGCACAACGTTTTTAATCTCACTTGGTTTGGATGTGCTGACTAAACTTGATCGGAAATGGTTGCGGTATTTGTAAACAACTTTTAATGTAAACATATCAGTGACAGCTAGAAGTGAGAACTAATCCAAACAGCTGATCGTTATTTCATAAAATGTAATAGTAAACATTGGGAGAAAATTTGACAAAAAATCGAACAAAATTGGGTTTTTTGGTGGTTTGTTATTTTGGTTTACAAAGAAGCGAGGCCACGTTTTTATAGCCAAAGACACTCTTACCAATCCAGTAAATACAGAAAAATTATTAGAACCTTGATCGGTACTCTAGTTTTCTAGGAGTAGGCCGCGTAAAATGACATTTTGGCGTTACAGACGAAGTCACAGAATGGACAAACAGACAGACATACAGACAGAAATTGAGATAAGACTCGTTTCGGCTTTCTTCGGCTATGAAACGTAAAATAACCAAAAACTGCATGAT